GTGTGTGTGAGTGTGTGTGTGTGTGTGTGTGTGTGTGTGTGTGTGTGTGTGAGTGTGTGTGAGAGAGTGTGTGAGTGTGTGTATATGTTAATTTGTTCAGCCTAATCGATAATGTGTCTAACTGTTCTTATAATGGACTAAAGCTCAGATGATAGGTCAGATGATGCAGTATGAGCATGCATGTGTTCTTCGCACCTCTGGACTCCTTTTAACGAACGTTTAACGGCTCACAAACGCCTGAGCCGCATCAGCCAATCAGAGCGCTCGTCCCACTGCTGGCCTGGAAACCCAGCGTCTCCAGCGAGAGTAATCACCCCACTCTCCGTAACGAGGACAGCCGGGGTCCCACTGCAACCCGGAGCTCTTATTTTACCTCACACACGCTCAGAGTCACAGTCAGGCGGTCACAGCGATGCATGAGACGGAATAAACATGCAAATGTTGTAATAAAACCGTGTGGTTATTGAAATGTGACGTATGTTATGCACACATTCTGCATACAGAGATGCATAAGGTTTCATAAATCATGCACAGATAGCACAGTGGCTTTTCATTGCAGCCGAACAAAATTGAATGCAAATCAGCACCAGTGCACATTGCACACATTACAAAGTGTGCAGTCATAACTATTTTTTTATTAATTATTTTCTCACTTTTTGTTTGTTCTTAATTTTGACATCAAAGTCAGAAAAGATGCACCCATATATACAGGATGTCCATGTGTTGTTTTTAAAACAATTCATTAATTTTATTATAATTTTTTTAAATATTGTATTATTTTGTTGATTGTATAATTGAGGGTACTGTCACAATCATGGTACTAAAATCACATTAATATAGATTATTCTTAAAATCACTGTCACGGCAAAAGAGCCATCCACTTTTCTTTAGTTGATTTATTTAATTAATTAAAAATGTATTTTTAAAAAGAAGAAATAGAATAAACCTTTTTATTGCTTTAATTTTAATTATTTATCAACATTTTAATTTAATGCTAATTTGCACTCATTATGAAGTGTGCAGTCATAACTTATTCGATTTTTGTTATTAAATTTGTCTTTAATTTTTTTTTTTCATTTTGACATTGAAATCAGAAAAGATGCATCCATATAGACAGGGTGTTCATATGGTGTGTGTGTGTTTTTTTAAAAATCTTCGTACACACACACAGACACACACAGACACACACAGACAGACAGACACACACACACACACACACACACACA